GTGCCCGCCTGTCTTCCGGGGGGGCCCACTGCAGCCTGGGAGCCAACGGCAGGCAGTGCCTTATGGTAGCACGGCCCTTCCCCAGCCAGGGGCCCCTGGGCTCAGGAAAGCAGCGAGGTGACCCGGGCCAGAAGTCGGGGGTGTCCAGGCCTTCGCCCAGGGAACGGTCTCCTGGCCCCCGCCTTCCCCACTGGCCCTCCCTGGCATTAGGCACTGGCCGGGTGTGGTGCCAGCTGCCATCTCTGCCCTTGAACTGCGGGAGGAACCTGCCCCACGGCCAGAGCGGCTGGTCAAGGCCGCTGACCCGGAGCCCCCTGCTTACCTGGGACGGCTGCCCCCTTCCTTTCGGGGGAGGCCAGGTGGGCGGGACGAGGCACCAACTCCGCTGCGGCCTGGGAAAGGCTGAGGCTGCCGGGGGGCCCTGGGAGCGAGTCCCGCTCCCGAGGCTGGAGAATGGGAGGCTCTTTGGGGAAAGGGGTCGGCCGGGCCTGGCGTTTCTTCTGCCAGCGGTTCCTCCCTGGCGCAGTCTCCGCTTCCTGCCCCACGGACCTCACTGCCCCCCACCCCACCCCTTTGCACAGCAGCCGCAGGGCCAGAGAGAACCAGCCAAGTGGCAGCCCCTCCTGGATCCGGGCACGGGCACTGCAGAGACCGGGGCACCCTGGTGCCCAGACTGCCATGCGGGGGGGCAGGTCTGCCCTGGCACTGGGCACGGGAACCGCCCTGGGGGGGGAGGCAGGAGGGGGGCTAAGTTGTTGAGGGGGCGCTTTCTCCCCGCTGGTCCTCACTGCAGGCTGCCCACTGCAGGGGCGCCAGGGAGGCCGGTCAGTGGGTTGGACGGGGAGGGCCAACCTAGGGCCACCCCCCTTCAGGGTGGGGCCTCGGGACCTGGGGTGGCTGCTCCACTTCAGCCCCCTTGTTCTTGGGGCCTCCGGTGGGCACAGTGGCCCCATCAGCCCCAACATCGCTGCTCTTTCAGCTGCTGGGGGGCCCTGCAGCCCCCAACTCCGTGTTAACCCTCTGCTCTCTCTCTCTCTCTCTCTCTCTCTCTCTGCCCGCAGCCCCCCGAGCGTACCTGCTGGCCTCCAGCCCCTCCCCCTTCTCCTCCTCCTCCCCCGAGAACGTGGAAGACTCTGGCCTGGACTCCCCCCCGCACCTGGCCACGGGGCCCTCCCCGGACCCCCGCCTGTGGAGCTCCCGGCCGGCCACGCCCCTGAGCCCCCCGGGCCAGAGGACCCCCAAGGGGCCCCTGGTGTTCCGGGGCGGCCGTGGGGCCCTCCTGCCCGAGGAGAGGCCCAACCCCTGGCTGCCCCAGCCCTCCGCCCCCCAGGACGCCCGCTTGGGGGCAGAGCCAGACTATGCCATGTCCGGGGCCTCCTGGCCCCCTGCAGGGGCCCGGGCCTTCTCCACCTGCTCCCCTGACCTCTTCTCCTCGGAGGCCGGGCTGGGGGGCCGGCGGCTCTGGGCCTCCCGACCTCGGAGCCCGGCAGCCTTGGATGGGGCCCCTCGTACTGGGGAGCGCGACAGCTGCCTCTCTTCCAACTCGGCCTCCTCTTCCTCCTCCTCTCCGGCCCCCCTCAGCAGCGGGGACTCCACCAGCCCCTCTCCCTGGGCCCCCCGGGGCCGCGACCTGGACAGCAGGGGCCCCTCTGCCTCCGATGCCTCCTCTGAGCATGGTGAGTAGGGGCCGAGGGGCTCCCGGGGGCTGGAAGAGGGGGACCGAAGGGGGGGGAGTTACGTTTGCCCCCCAGGGCCCCTCCGCCCCTGCACTGCCTGGCCCCCTTCTGCCCCCTCTCGGGCCCTCCGTGCTCTGGGTGCAAATCCCGGCATTTGGGAAAGAGGAACAGCTTTCACGGACAGGATTGGCCAGCGGAACTGCCTTCCACTGGGGCAGGCGGGGGGTGTTGGCAGCGCTGCTTGTGGGAGGCGTTCCCAGGCTGGGAGGGAGCTGCTTCCACTTTGGGTGGGGAGGGGGCGGCCCGCCCTTTGTGCCCCTCCCGTCACCCTCTTCTCTTGACCCGCAGCTGCCTTTCCCCCTTCGGCCCCCCACGCCTGGCCCCCCATGGCGGCTCCTGTCCGGCGAACCCTCTCCAAGAGGCCCTCGGCCATGTCGGCCAGCAGCCTCGGGGCCGAGACGGTGAGTGCCAGAAGGGGCAGCCCCCCCCCCGGAGCCCGCTGAGCCCCCCTGCCCAGCCCTGCAGACCCTCTGGGCTCCCTCTGGGTGCCCCCTGGAGCCAGCGGGTAGCGTCTTGGCTGCCGGGCTCTGTTGCTAAGAAGCGTTATGGGGCTGGGAACACCCCCCACCCCCGCTAAGCCCTGGTGCAGAGGGGGGGGCAGGGGGCTGACCTCTCTCTCTCCCCCCAGCCCCGCTCCTTCAGCCCAGCCCCCCTGTCTGCTCTGACCTCCTCCCAAAGCACCTCGGCCCTGACGGAGCGCGGCCTCTTCACGCCCAGCGAGCAGCCGCACCAGCCGCCAGCCCTGGGTAGGTCCTCCCCGGGGGGGGGGGGGGGGAGCGTGGCTGTGGGACCTTTCCTGCTGGGTTGGGGGCCTGGGCGGCTGCCCGAAGCCACTGAGGAACCCCGCCCTCCTTCCTTACGTGCCAGGCGTCTCCCGTGGACCCTCCCCCGTGGTGCTGGGCTCCCAGGGCGCCCTTCCCGTGGCCACGGCCTTCACGGAGTACATCCACGCTTACTTCAAGGGCCAGAAGGCGGACAGGTACTGGGGGGCGGAGGGTGGGGGGGTCCGTGGGGCTCTCCAGGCAGGCTGGGTGGGCGGAGGGCCGCGGGCGCCCCCTCCCTGGCCTTGCCCAGCTCCCCCCCGGCCCCCCCGCCCAAGGGCTTCCTGGGCTGAGCCCTTCGCTGGGGGGCCCCCGGGCCGCCTCCCCAGGGCTGGGGGGCCACGAGGGCGCAGCTCCCCACGGGCCCCTCCCTCCCTCCCTCTCTCCGCAGCAGCTGCCTCGTCAAAGTGACCGGGGAGCTGACCATGTCCTTCCCGGCGGGCATCGTCCGGGTCTTCAGCAGCGCCCCGTCCCCGCCAGTCCTCAGCTTCCGCCTGCTGCACACAGCGCCCATCGAGCAGTTCCTGCCCAACGCCAGCCTGCTCTTCAGGTGCCCGCGGGGGGGGAGAGGGGCTGGCAGCCACGGGGGGGGGGGGGGGGGGGCGGGGAGGCCCCCGGTAGGCGGGGGGGGTGGAACTGGGGGGGGCCGGCTGGGCCGACTGCCCCCCCCCGTCTCTCCTGTCCCCCCCCCCCAGTGACTCCTCTCAGAGCGACCCCAGCCGGAGGGACTTCTGGCTCAACATGGCCGCCCTGACCGGGCACCTCCAGAAGCAGGCCGAGCAGTCGGGGGCCGCCCCGTATTACAACGTGACGCTACTCAGATACCAGGTGAGGCTTCGCGGGTGGGGCTCCCTGCCCACTGAGGAGGGAGGCCAGAGCAAGACGCTTGGACCCCAGTTGAGGGGCGTGGGGGACCCCTCCCCAAACAACTCCATGTGGTGGGGGCAAAGGGGGGGAGGCCTTGTGGGGGGCTTTGCCATCTGGGGTGTTTCTCCACTTCCCAGTCTTCCAACATCTCCTGGTGGTCTCCCATCCAAGGGCTAGCCACGCCCAACCTTGCTTGGCATCAGAGTCCACCTTCGAAAGAGAATTCACCTTGGTCTTTCATGAAGCGTAGTGTGTGTGTGTGTGTGTGATTGTGGGTGGTGTGTTCTTAGTAACCTTCCCTGGTTAAGATGATGGGGGAGGGGGATTCTGGGGGGGGGTTTCTAGCTGCTGCATTAAGGCCGGGGGTCCCCTGTGGCCCCGCGGGGCACCCTCCCCTCCCCGGGGAGACCTGGGGCCCCCACAGGGGCCTCCTCTCCTTTTGGACCACAGTTCCAGCAGTTCCCTGCTTCCTGGGCACTTTGGGGGGGGGTTGTAGTCCATGCCCTCCTGGAGTTGGCTTGGGGGGGGGGGGGCGGCCCCGGGGGGGGGGGGGCAGGGGTGTGATGCACAAACACGCGCACACACCCGTCTTTCCTGGGCCCCCCTTGCCGCCCGCAGTACTCCCGGCAGGGGCCACAGTGGGCCCCCCTGCAGCTGTCGGTCAGCTGGGAGTGCGGCCCGGAGGCCACCCGGGTGAGCGTGGACTACCGCTACAACGCCTCCGCCCTGGCCTCGCCTGTGGCCCTCACCAACGTGCAGGTGCTGCTGCCCATCGAGGAGCCCGTGGCCAACGTCCAGCCCCAGCCCAAGGCCTGCTGGTGAGTGGGGGGGGGGGGGGGGGGCGGCAGGCGGCACCTGGGCGAGACTCGGCAGCTGGCGCAGGAAGGGCTTCGTGACCAACCGGGCTAATGCCCAGGCCCCCTGCCAGAGAGCCGTTGCCCCTGGCAACCCAGGAGGAGGAGGAGGAGGAGGCCTTGCCCGGCTCCCTCTCCGCGGCAGGAAAACCCCGATTCTGCTTCCTCCTTTCGTTTTCCGGCTGTGCCCGGAGCCCCTGCGGCTCTTTGGGGCCCTTCGTGTCCAGCCGCCCCCCAACAGGAACAAAACGGGGACTGGGGGTGGGGTGGGGGGGACGAGTCTCCAAAACGGAGGCCTGGGCCCCCTGAGGCCTGGGGGGGGGCAGAGGGGCTCTGGCCAGAGGACCAGGATTGCAGAATTGGGGGGGAGGGGGGGTCACGCCCCCAGCAGCTGCATCCAGAGCGCCCCCTGTGTCGCCCCCTGCAGGAACCTGGAGGAGAAGCGCCTGCTCTGGCGGCTCCTGGACGTGCCCAGCACCCAGGGCCAGGGAGGTGAGCGGGGCGGGCGGGGGAGGGGGGGCAGGCTGTCCTTCCTCAGCCGTGGGCAGGGCGGGAGGGGGCCGCATGCACCCCTTCACCTCCTCCCCCGTCTCTCCCCCCCCTCAGGGTCCGGCCGCCTCCTGGCCAGCTGGGAGCCCTTGGACGGACCCAGCAGGCCCTCCCCAGTGGCCGCCCAGTTCACCAGTGAGGGCAGCACCGTCTCGGGAGCCGACGTGGAGCTGGTGGGCAGCGGCTACCGGATGTCGCTGGTGAAGAAGAGGTTTGCCACAGGTGAGGCTCCTGCCAGGTGGGCCTCCTGGGCGTGGCTGCTGGCCCAGAGGGAGGTGCTGGTGTGGCTCAGCCCCCCCCCCCTCTTGAAGACAGACCGTTTGGCCAGGGAGGTTCGAAGGAGGGGGGCCAACAAGGAACAGCCCCCCTCAATGGGGGGGGGGTACGACCTCATCCGCCTGCAGTCTTCAACAGGGTCCTTTGGGCAGCTCTGCAAGTGGCCTGAAGGACCCCCTGGAGGGACGCGAAGGACCCGCGTTGTCTGCCAGGAGTGCAAATCCCTCCCCTCCATCCGGTCAGAGCTGAAGAAGCTTCCGGGATGAGAAGCGAAACGTCTTCAAAAGGAAAAAAGCACCTTTGGGGCAACCCTGACCTGGATGACGGGGAATCTCCGCAGACATTTAGAATAACAGAGTTGGAAGGGACCTTAGAGGTCATCTAGTCCAACCCCCTGCTCAAGCAGGAGGCCCTATAACCCGGGCAGGATCCAGGCTCCATTAGGGGGGGCAGCTCTTTTCTCTGCCCCTGCCAGGGTCGCCCACAAGGATCCCTCCGGCGTGCCCACCCGTCCCTGTCCTTTTCCCTCCCTCCAGCCGGTAACCCCAGGCGCATGCGCACACACACCCACACACCCACACCCCAGTCGCAGGGGGCTCTCTGCACACGGCCCTGCAGCTCCTCCCCCAGGGGGCCCCAGGCTCC